GGTGAACCCAGAACCCCAGACATAATGCTGGGGGTGAACCCAGAACCTCAGACATGCTAAGCTACCAGTGACCACTGAGCTACACTCCCACCTCATCATTTCTTCTTTTTTTAAGGCAGACTTAACTCTGGCATGACATGTTAAAATGCTACTTTGTGCATAAACCATTGCTACTGTGTTTGACTCTGGTTAGGTTTCTCCTGAGCACATTGCCACTCACTATTTCAATATTTCAGTTGAAGAACCCTCAGAACACTGTACACACATTGCTGGAACAGTAAACAAAAATGCCGATGACACAAGTAAACATTAAACAGAGAAATCATCTGAGGCACGGTGAGGGTAGTTGTAAAATTGTATTGTTTAATACGTGACCTCCAAATTAAAAACAAAATTTTTAGAGTTTTAATTCTGTGTTTAGGTCATTGGAAGAATCAAATCTCAGATGCCACAAACCAGAAAAGAGGATAGAGCACAAATGCCCACTTCTGAGGCAGGATGGCTCCATGGTACCCTTTAAGGCAATGGATCTCAACCTGTGGGTCAGGACCCCATTGGGGATTGAACAATCCCTTCGCAGGGGTGGCCCGAGACCATCTACATATCAGATGTTCACAATTCATAACAAGAGCAAAATGGCAGTTTTATGTTTGGGAGTTAACCACAATGTAATTCCACAGTATAAGGAACTGTATTAAAGGGTGGCAGTATTAGGAGGGTCGAAAACCATTGCTTTAAGGGATTCCCTTTCCCTCTCCCTCTCCCTCTCCCTCTCCCCCTCCCCCTCCCCCCCCCCCTCCCCCTTCCCCTTCCCCTCCCCCTTCCCCTCCCCCTCCTCCTTCCCCTCAGTTATTTTTCTATCACTGTGATAAAACTTAATGATCAAAAGCAACACCGGGAGGAAAGGGTTCACTCAGCTTATACTTTCAAGCAACTATATCACTGAGGGAAGCTGGGCCAGGAATTCAAGGCAAAATCCCGGAGGCAGGAACTGATGCAGAGGACCATGCTACTAGTATTTCCAAGACGCTGGGTTCTCTGGTGCCGCTGAGCTGTGTTCTCAGCGGGCCTCTCCTGGGCTCCCTTCAGGGATTCTGCCCTGGCACCACGGCACGTGGTGCTGACCCTCAGCTTTTCTCCGTGACTCCTTCAGTCCTGGGGCTTCAGCTTCAGGGGAGCTTGCACCTTGATGAATGTCCTCTCCTGGTCAGTCATTGTGCCAAACCTCAGTTGCTCTCGATGACTCTGTCCTGCCCTCAAAACCACCACCTGGGAAACTCTGACATGTCAAGTTTGGCTGCCAGCACAGGTTACAGCCTTGGTTTTCTTTGGACCACAGTCTGTGTGCTGACCCTGAGGAAACACTTCCTAGAAGATTCTGCCTCAATGAGGTAGGCCTCTTCTTAATCACAGCAGATTCTCTGGCCCCAGCTGACCAGCATGCAGGTTTTTTTTTTTTTTTCAGCAAAGCAGAGGTTTCCTCCTTTACTCCAATGTCTCTGGTTTCTCGTTAATTACAGCTGGTTCTTCAGCTCCAGCTGACACCATGGATTCTTAAGATGAAACTATCACACATATGTTTCTAGTAGAGTCTTTGCTTTTCTCTGAAACTTCGAAAGTCAGGTCTCAATCGTCTGCACTGCTCGCAGCATTGTCTTCTGAGTTCCAACAGAACAGCGCACTGATCCCCGAGAACTCAAAGACCTTCTCACCCCAAAGTTCAAGTGCTATGACAATCTAAAAAAAAAAAACACATGGTGAGGTCTGTGACAGCCATACCCTACAACCTGCTTCTAATTTATGCCTTAGTTGGGGTGTTGTTGCTGTAATAAAACACCATGACCAAAACCAACTTGGGGAGGAAAGAGTTTATTTTGTCTTACAGCTTGTAGTCAGTCATCCAGGGAAGTCAGAGCTAGAACTTGAGGTGGGAATCTGGAGACGGAGACTGATGCAGAGGCCATGGAGGAGTGCTGCCTTACAGCCTTACTCCTCGAGGTTTGCTTGGCCCAATTTCTTACAGAATTCAGGAACATCCATCCACCTAGGAGTGGCACCGCCCACAGTGAGTTGGGCCTTCCCACAATCAGTCATCAAGAAAATGTACCACAGACCAGTCTGGTGGGGGAAATTTTCTCAGCTGAGGTTCTGTCTTCTAAAAGGACATGTACACACACAAATACTAAATCTTTTTAAAACAGAAATTCTTTACTAAAACTAGAAGTGTTGCTTTTATACTCTTCTAAAACATTCTATTTGGGGAAAAAAAAAAAGATGGTGCCAAGGAATATTTATATCACTTTCTGTGGGATAATTTTAATTTGTGGAAACCATATATACATAAATATGTAATTCATAAACATGCCCTCTTGTGTATGGAAAATAAATGTCTCTGTCATATGCTTTGTAGGCATCAGAGCTCTGAGAAACAGGGCTCTGAGCCGTGGTCTTCTCTCTTCCCCAGGTGCGGGTGTGACTCCCCAGAACCAGGGTCGGCCTGGCCCCCAGGGTCTGCCTGGCCCCCAGGGTCTGCCTGGCCCCCAGGGTCTGCCTGGCCCCCAGGCAGCAGGTGCCTTCCAGGGGCCTCCACAACCTGCACAGCCATCTATTCTGCAACCAGGGCCTCAGGTTCCCCCGCCACCCCCCACCGCCCTGAATGGCCCTGGTGCCTCGCCTATGTCTCCACCAACTCACAGGCAAGATGGACTTCCTGCGCCTGCTCCTCTGAATGCCCAGTATCAGCCCCCACCTCCACCAGGCCAGACCCTGGGTGCTGGCTACCCTCCACAGCAAGGTAAGGTGGACAGGTTGAAGCCAAGGAGGGGGGGGGTCACCTGGAGGGTGTCCTTAGAGGAAATCAGATTTGTTTCTGTGTCAACTGTGAACGGACAGTAGTCTCTGGATAGCATCAGAAGAGCAAGTTAAACAGAGAGTGTAGTGACTTCCTTTTAGCTTCCTGCTTTATTTAACAAGACGAACTTGGTGGCATGTTTGATTCAGCAGTGTGATATTGTCAGTGAGCTTGGGTCTGGAGACTGTCATTTCTTTACTATCTTTTTTCAAGCAACCAACTATGGACCACAGATGGGGGGTGCACAGCTGTCTTACCCAGGAGGCTTCCCTGGAGGTCCTGCACAGATGGCCGGGCCAGCACCTCAGCTCCAGAGGAAGCTGGATCCAGACTCCATCCCGAGCCCAGTAAGTGTCCTCTGTCTCCCACACAGAAGCTCTTCCATTTGGCAGCATTGAGTCCTCCAGGGCCTGTAGAAGGTCTGGGACACTGGCCACAGGAGGAGGCTTCTGTTCCACACCTGTTCTTCTGGTAGAGGCATTCTGAGGCCTAGGAGGGAGGGCTTGGCCTTCTGATCAGGGAAACAAATGGTAAGCCACATTGAACCAGGAACAGGTACAGGGAAGGATGAAGAATTTTGTCTGTTTTTGTAATTCTATAAAGTTGAAGAGGTGTGATAAAGTAGCAAATATGTATAACAAACTTTACAAAACATTGAAAATTCAACTGTAGTGGCTCTTGGTACCTTTGTTTATGGCTTAGCATTTCCTATGGCTTGAGAATGCAAGATTCCTGTGGTTCCCAGTCAGGTGCTGTTTTGGAAGGTTCAGAGAACTTTAGGAGGTATGACCCACCTGGAAGAAGTCAGCCTTTGAGGGTATTTTGTTCCTAGCCTGTGGTGGTTTGAAGGACAATATCCCCTAGAGGATTATGTGTTTGATTTTTTGGTCCCCAGCTGGTGGCTCTGTTTGGGGAGGCTTAGAAGGAGTGGCCATATTGAAGGAAGTATATCACTGGGAGTAGGCTCAGCCAGCTAAAGTCCTTTTCCTGCTGTGGTTTACTCTCTCTGCTCTGCTTTGTGCTTGTGGTTCAAGATGTGAGCTTTCAGCTTCCTCTGCCTACCTCAATGCCTGCCATATTCTGCCACAATACTCCTGCTGTTACAGACTCTATCCATCTGGAACCATAAGCATAAATAAATCTTAGTTCTGTAAATCGCCTTGCCCAGGATGTTTTATCACAGCAACGGAAAAATAATCCACGGCCCCTTTCTGCCATGCCTTCTGCTTGCTGTCTGCTGTGAAGTGTACAGACACAAACACAAAAATGCCACATTCGTGCCACCTGCACCTCCACTAGAAGGCTCTCCCAAATGCACCAGGCCAAGCAGCCATGGACTGAGTCCTCTGAAACAGCCAGAAATAACCTTTCTTCCATTAAGGTGCCTATGCCAATGACAAAATGTCTTTAACTAAAATACAATTACTTGATTATTAGTGTTAAAAATTCGTTTACCTTGAGCTTATTTTGGATGTGATTTCAGAAAACCTCCCTCAACTGTCTCACCAGGTCTGTTCCTGAGACAATCTCAGGCACCTTTAATACCCTTGCAGATGAACTTCCCAGTTCCCTGGCCCTCCCAGGTTTCCACCTTCCCCTAACCTTTCCCAGATCTCACCACAGCTCATATGACCACCACATATTCCTGAGAGCATTGTATTTCCATCCTCCTGCCTTTGTAGCTCATTCCCTTCAAGGCCAAAACAACCATTCTCTCCACCGGATCTCTCACACGTAACACTTTTCTTTGACTTACACGCCTCCATCTCTTAACCGAGTGTCTGCATTTGCAGGTGACTTTGCATGTACCTTTGCGTTTGTGCCTTTGTATTTGTATGTTGTATGTGAATGTGCCTGGGTGTGTTTGTGAATGTGCATGTCTTTATGTGTGCATGTGTGTGTGTGTATGTATTGTATACAGGTGTTTGTGTGTTCATGAATGTGTCTATGTGTGTTTGTATATATACATGTGTGCTTTTTATGTGGGTTTGTGTGTGTAGGGGGTTGTACGTATGTGTGTATGTGATATATATATATATATATATATATATATATGTGTGTGTGTGTGTGTGTATCTGTGCATGTGTCTATATGTGGTGTGTGTATACGTATGTGTGTTTATATGTGGGTGTATGTATATGTATTTGTGTTTGTGCATATGTATATGAGTGTCTGTATATGTGTATGATATCTACATGTATATGTGGTTATATGTGTGCATATGTGTATATATGTGTGTATATGCATATATATGCATGTATGAGGGTGTGGGTTCTTGTTATTGCCTCATACCTCTCCCCACTTAGTGTTAGGGTATTCCAAGGCTCAGTCTTTGGAGTGACCTTTTCTTTGTGGACATTTAGTCTCTGTTCTTCATGGACATTTAGTCAACATTATTCATCCCCAAGAACAGGCAGTCGACATCAACTGAGAGCATTTTCAGAATTCTTGTTCTTGGGCTCCATTCAGACTGTGGATGGTGAGCACACTGATGAGGGACCATCACTCAAGGTGCTCTCATTCTCAAAGCTTCCAGCAAAAACATGGATCCTCAGTCAGACCTTTCCCCTGAAACCCAGCCCTGGCCGCCCCTTACCTGACAAACCTCAGACTCATCAGACACACCCTTTTCCTTCCTCTAGTCCTATGATTGATTCTAGCTGTGTTCATCAGTTCTCCCTGGTGCAAGCCTCCACCATCCAGCTGCCTGAGACTCTGAGAGCCTCCTAAGAAGCCTTGAAGTCACTGTGCCCAGACTATCCATCCAATTTAAGTCAGAGCAGATCCTGGCTCAGGACAAAGCTTGCCAGCACTCTTTTATAGCTAATAGTCAAAGTCCTTATGATTCCTCACACGATGCTTCACTGTCGGCCTCTTGTGACTCCGGCTCCCTCACAACATGTGCACATAGATACTAGATGCCTCTGATGTGGTCCTTGCCCTGTGCCTCTGTTTTAGTTGCACTAGCTCTTCACACATGCCTTGTGTGGGCCTCAGCTTGGCTCTTGACATTTCTATTGCCTGTATATATGCTTCCTTCGTAGCCTATGCAAGGCCAGACTCGTGTGATCCGTTTTTCCCCCATGTCTTTATTACCCACTCAATATCCCTGGAGTGATACTGGGACTGGAGTATCGTGCCTCTTCATGTCCACAACATCTAACTGCCTGGCAGAAGGCACGTTGTTTGTACAGTTATTTATCTGCCACTGTTCTTGAACATCTAGTTTGTCCACTGCTATCTCTAACACCAAAACAGAACCTGCTGCTCATGCTCAGTGAGGCGGGGGCGGGGCGGGGGCGGGGGCAGGGCGGGGGCGGGAGGGAACGTTAAAGAGAAGAAGAAGCAGGTGCCATGGTTCATCAAGAACCTCGCAAGTGTTTATGTGCAAACCAGCCCCATGTTTTTTATCTTGAGGAAATAACATGAAGCCAGATGGAGCCTGTTTATTTTCTTATGATGAAAACAACACATTTTGTTAATGAAATAAATTCTTGCGGAAAGAACGATTCCATTCTGCAATCCTGAGTGAGGCACCTAATACAGTAGTAGACCTTTGACTGGTGGTCTTAGCCGCATTATAACGCTGTGGAAGCTGCACTCCTGAAGGTCTCCCTTACCCTCTTCTGCATCTCAGGAGGTTTTTCAGAGGCTGTATCCTTCCCTTTCACCATGCACGGTTCAGTTCTGTCCATCAGTACCTCTAGCTGGCCAGCATCTTAAGTTGCTTCTGCATCTGATATGGTTCTCCCAAGAGCAGCACTTCCTTTGGATTGTCTCCTGATTATGTTTTACGATTCCACAAAACTCATGAGAATGATGCCCGTGGCACATCTGAGGGGGAGAGAGATCTGTGTCTTCCAAGAGCACGTTGACATCATCGCATGTCACCGTGGTCAGCCCACACTCGCAGGTCACAGCCGAGTCACTGTTGGAGTTTTGCTTATTGTTTTATTTCCAATGATGTTTTTCAAGAGTGTGCATTTGGGGTAAACCAAAAGCTGTTTTTAACGATAGTTAGAACTATTTGATACTTCTTACACTTGTCTGTGTCTTGTTTTGTGGAGTTGTGGATTTAATTAATAATGACTATTTATAACATCATTTCTCTGGGTACAGGGCTTTGCCAATTGTAAATGGATAGTCTGAAATAAGGTTTTTGAGACTATGGTCTACTGATTAGTGACTGTGTAGGTTCAGTATTCTAAGCACACGACTGTATCATGACAGTGTTCACCTTAGACTTTGTTGGTTGGAATAATTATATTAAACGCTACCATTTAATAATGTAAAAGTTACTCTTTTGAGTAACCCAATTAGCTTGTGGTTAAATACAGAATGTAATTACAGTGTTTTGATGTATCCTCACACTTCTTTTTCATGGTAGCATCTTGTCTGTGTCTTGCTGTGGTAGTGATGTCTGGAACACATCCTATATCTTTGTGTTTGTCACTACTCAAACTCCGAGGAAGCCAGACGGCAGACAGATACAAGTTTAAATTCAGGCTTGGTCGGTTGCCAATATTCTTGGAACCCATGATGCCAGCACCATCTGCGCTGGTTGAGACTGGAGCAGGGGAGAACACTTCAGAGTTGGTTCAAAGTCAGCATTTATATTAACGATGAGAAACTGTATATTTTTTAATTTATAGTCTAGCCTGGGTGCTCTCTGTGGCTGCCTTACGCTCACCTTTGAGTTTTTAACTCTGTTGTTGTTTTATCCACCCCACCCCCACCCCTTTTCTGTAGAAAGTGAGAATCTGGAGTGGAAAAGGAGGAAATGGAAGAAGACAGTTTCCTGGGGTTACTTCTTGGTACCCTACGTTCATTCTACTCAATTTTGCTCACACTTTTTTTTACTCTGGACAATTATAACAAAAAGAAAAAAAATTAAAAAGAAATCTTTTCTAGTCTTCATCAGCAAATAGTACTAGTAGAGAAATAAATATGTTTCTACGTTAGATGGCAACATTTGGGGACCTTTGCTCCTGAGGATTTCTGAACAATAGACACCCACACTCCAAAATACCTTAGATTTCCTGCACGGGGTGGGGAAATCAAGCTGTGGGGTGTGAAAGACAAGCTGAGGACTAAGATGGGTTCTGAGTTGAAGGTAGGCAGCTTTAGCTCAGATATTATATGTAATTTCTTCTCCATTATTAAATGGACTTTTAGAATTCTCTTTTGATTGCAAAAAGTATTTTCTTTTTTTTTAAAACAGTTCCAGATTTCTTTTCTTTCTGAAATATTTTTCAAATGCCCATCCATGGTTATAATAAATAAGATAAAACATCATAAAATAAGGATCTCTGAAAAGTCAGGGTCCGAGCTAAGAGTATTACAGAATAGAATTTGGAAATTGGATAAATTTTGGTCTAAAATTGTGAAAGTAAATGAAGATAAGATTGAAGGCATGTTAGACTGATTTGTCTGAGGAAAAATAGAAGAATTTTTAAAGGACCCCCCCCTCTTCCTCTTCTTTCTCTCCATCCCTCCTCCCCCTTTGTTTTTTCTTCTTACTCTGAAGAAGGAGGAGGAAGAGGGAACAGGAACAAGCCACTGTCCTTTTTCACTGCTTTCAGGATGAGTTGTTACTAAGTTTAATTCCCTCTTAACATCTTGTTTGTCAGATTCAAGTGATCGAGAGTGACAGGGCCACCAGAGGTGGACAAGTCTATACAACCAACACCAGGGGCCAGGTGCCTCCACTGGTCACCACCGAGTGTGTGATTCAAGACCAAGGTATTTATTTTCAGTCACTTTTTTGGGGGGAGGGGTATGTTTAAAATGTCTTACTGGTTTTTGTTGTTGTTGTTTAAACTAATACCTTGCCTCCTGTCGTCAGTACTATTATAGAGAGAATAGACCAGTTCCCTGTTAGTCCCCCAAGAACCCAAAAGGTGCTGCCAATAGAATTATATTCTCTGATGTAGTCATCCAAAGAACTTCAAGTGGTGTACAATACAATGTATCTGCTTGTTTGTTTTTTTTAAATTCAAATTGTGATTTATAGTTTAAGACAATCAGTTCCCTACTAGCATGACTTTGTGTACCATGCTGGGTGTCACTAGTGAAACAGAGGGGCTAAACTCTGCCAGCCAGCTCACCTGCTGTAGCAACTCTGAGGACACTGTTTTCAACAAGTCTCCTAACATTTTGGTTCTTGGTGGATTTCCCTCATTTTACATTTAGAGACCTGGTTTCTTAGTCTTTTTTAAATGCCTTTTTGTTTTTTACCCACCCTTTCTTCCTTCCTTCCTTCCTTCCTTCCTTCCTTCCTTCCTCCCTCCCTCCCTCCCTCCCTCCCTCCCTTCCTTCCTTCCTTCCTTGTATGTGTGTGTATACACGTGTATACATGTATGTGTATGTATATGTGTGTATATGTATGTCTGTTTGCATGTATGTGTGTTCATGTGTATGTGTGTGTGTGTGTGTGTGCCATAGAGCTCATGTGTAGGTCAAAGGACAGTTGTAGGAGTTCCTTCTATTCCATGGGTCCTGGGCTCTGAACTAAGGCTGTCAAGCTTGGAGGCAAACACCTTTACCCACCCTCAGCCCCACTCACTCTTTAGGATGCCTTCTGAGCTTCCTCTGGGTCCTTTATGTTAGAGAGCTCTGGGCTTAGTTAGTCCTTGTTCATTTTTGTTTGGCCACAGTCATTGCTGTAGTGACTTAGCCTACTTCCACATATCGTCTCTGCTCAGTGCTCCTAAAGGTACATAGCCAGCCTGGACTCAACTCCCATCCACTGTCTACTCAGACTTGCTGTTTGACAGACTGCCTAATACATTTCCCAAACTGGATATGTTCTAACCCAATTATGATTTCCACCCACACAACCTTAAAAACTGGCTCCTTTCCTGTTCTTTGCAGCCTTTCAGTTTTCAGGGATAGCAGTTTCCCATTCTTCTCCCTCCTCAGATTCACATGTACATAGCACCATTCCTGAAAACAGCTATGTTGATTACATCAACATGTACCTGGAATCTATGGCTCTGTACTCCGTCTCTATGGGGCTTGTTAGAGACACTACTGTTTGTCACTTGGCCCCTGCAGCAGCCTCCTTCTGGGTGTCCCTGACTCTCATTCTCCTCATCAGATCCAGGGAACAAGCCAGGTCCTGACACTCCTCTGCCCAACCCCAGCAGTGATGCTCCAATTCATTTGTAAAACCTTAGTGAGCTTCAAGAGTCTACATGGTCTGACCCTGTCCCTCCTCTGAACACAGCCTCGGCACTCCTACATAGACAGTTCTGTTCTTCCTCTGCTAGGCTTCCTTCCTGTGTAAGTTTGCCTGAGTGAGCTCCTTGTCTGCTGTGTGTCTGAGCAAATGTTACGTTTATATTGAGGTTGACCTTGCAAATATTTAAAATTTCAATCAGCCTCCTACTTTCAGGTACTCCTTAACCAAAGAGGCTATTGTTTTCATAGCATTTATCGTGTTCTGATGACCCACATAATGAAGTCATTCATTTTGTTTCTCTTATCCATGATATCTTCAAAAACATAAACTTTACAGTCTACAGAAAAACCTAGGACAGTGCCTAAAATGAAGTAGATATTCAATAAGCAATGATTATGTTCTCAGGTCCTATTAGTAGGTTATAAGTCTAAATATTTTAGATTAGTACTCTGGCTGATAATTAAGGCCTTCAATATTAGTTCCCCCAGGAGATTGAGGCAAAAGGATTCCAAGTTCAAGGCTTGTCTGATCTACAGGTATTTCAAGGCCAGCCCGGGCAATTTAGTAACAGTCTCAAAACTAAAAAGGCTAGGGGTGTGTATAACTCAGCAGCAGAGTGCTTGCCTAGCTTGTCAGGCTCGAGGTGCTATCCTTAGTACCAGTGAAAATAATTTAAAGCCTAGGACAGTGCCTAAAACATAGTGGACAGTCAATTTTATTTTTATTAATCCTATGAGCAGCTCATGTATGCATACAATGTATTTTGATCATATTCACCCACTTCTCAGATCCAGCTGTACCTTTGCATCTTTCCCAAACTCCTGCCTCCCCCCTCTCCCCAAATGACCTTTCACAATTTGTGCTGCCATTATGGGCATAGGGGCATTCACTGTGGTGTGGTAGACCTGCCAGAACCACAGAAAACTGACTCTCCCTCCCCCACAAGCCACCAACTGTCAATAGCACCTCAGTTAAGGGGAGGGCCTTTGTTCCCCATGCTAGAATGTTGAGATGGTCAATCGTGTGCAGATCATATACAAGCAACCACCACTGCTGTGAGACATGAGTGCAGTGGTTCTATCATGGCTAGAAAAACACCGCGACACTTGGATCCTCACAGCCAAATTGTGACTCGTACAATTTTTTCTGCCCCTTCTCCTGCAGTGTCTCCTGAGCCTTGGGTGGGAGGCACAAGTGTGAACAGTTGTTCTATCTGTGACTGAGAAATCCAGTCACTAATTCTCTGCACTCCCACAGTGGTTAAGTCTCTGTTTTGACTGTCATCTGTTGCTCACAGAAACTTCTCTGATGAGGTCTAAGAGCTGCACTAATTTATGAGTGTAGAGGTATACATTTAGAGGACATTTGGCAAGATAGTCGTCATAGACTTAATCCTAGGCCTGTGAGATCCCTAATCATGGGCTCTTGACCATAGTCACAGTGCTAGGCATGCATTTCCTCCTGTGAATTAGGCCTGGAATCCAAGAAGAGGGCAGTTGGTTGCCCCTATAACCTTCATGCCACAATTACAACAATGATTCTATCGTGCCATGCCATTCGCTCAGTGGATCCACAGTTGGGTAAGACTGTTGATAACATTCCCCCAAAGCAACCTGAAGAGTACCTTCTGGTACTATGAAAGTTCGCCAATAGGGAGGAAGCTTCCCAGTCAGGACCAACTGGATTTCTCTAAATTTGTAAGCAAAGTATATGATGTATTCATATAGGAATCTTACCATCAGAAGGATTTTATCATCGAGTTCTGATGGGAACCAAGGGCAATGACAATAGGCACTGGACTTCAACCTACAGTTTTGGGAGGAATGTTATTCATGTAGGGTATTTACACAATTAAATTATTTCATATGAAAAGTATGGACTTCATAAAATAGGGGTTTTCAGTATTATTTCCCAAACATTCACGGTGTTAATTTCCTCTAATCCATTCTCTTGTCTGCTTAAACTTCTCTCCCCATCATCCCCCTTTTCTTTTCACATCACCCGTGCTTTACTGTCCCCTGCCCCTTGAGGTCTTCCTTCACTATCATAGATTGCTTGCTATTGCTGTGATAAAGTCCATGACCAAAACCAATTTGAGAACGAAAGGGTTTAGCTGGCTTACACTTCCATATCACAGTCCATCATGGAGGGAATTCAAAGCAGTAACTCAAGCAGAGTAGGAACCTAGAGGCAGGACTGAAGCAGGGACGGTAGAGGAACCAGCTTACTCCACATGGCTTGCTCAGCCTGCTTTGTTACAACCACCCAGGAGGACCTGCCCAGGATGACACTGTATCCAGTGAACTGGTCTCTTCCACATCACTCATTGGTCAAGAAAACTCCCTGCAGCCTTACCTACAGGCAATGTGATGGAGACCAAAAAATTAACCAGGATATTCCCTTTCCCCACCAGTGGCTACTTTCTAGTTCCCTGAAGTCTAACAGGCACCCCAAGTCTAACAGGTACCCCAAGAAGAGCTGGACCAAGGAACTTTAAATCATAACCTTACTGATTTCCATAGTAGCTGTGCCAACTTGCACTCCTACCAACAGTGCCCAAGGGTTCCCCTTCCCCCACATCCTCACCAGAATGTGTGGTTGTATGTTTTTTTTCTTTTGTTTTATTTTTAAATCATAGCCATGCTGATTGAATTAAGATGTAACCTCAAAGTAGTTTCAATTTGCATTTTCCTCATGGCTAAGGATGATGAATACTTGTAAAACTGTCTCAGCCATTTGTCTTCTGAGAAATGTGTATTCAGTTCCTTAGCTCACCTTTTAATTTGGTTGTTTGTTTTCTTGGTGTCTAGTGTTTGAGTTCTTGTATATTATGGACAGTAATCCTCGGCCAGATGTGTAGCTAGCAAGATTTTTCCCAATCTCTGGCCTGTTTTCTCTTGAGCTGATTAACAGTTTCTTTTGTTGTACAGAAGCTTTTTAATTTTATGAAGTCACACTTGGTGACAATTGGTCCTATTTCCTGGATGACTAGAGTTCTATTTGGAAAGTCCTTACCGGAGCCTAAATCCTGAAGTGTACTCCCTACTCTTTGTTTTGCAAGTTCCAGAGTTTGGGTTCTAATGTTGAAATTTTTGATCCATTGGAAATTGATTTGTATCCAGGGTGATCAGGATTCTTATGTAGATACCCAGTTCTCCTAACACAGTTTGTTAATGATGCTTTCTTTTTGAAAAAAAAAAAAAAACTAAATTATTCTGATGACTAAAATATTCTTCATGGATGTTATTTTAATCTCCTGTGTGCCATATAGTACATATATTTGGTCAGAAAATCTAAAGTATATTGAAAAATGATTATGATTTTAAAAGTAACATTTCTATTACAAGTAGATTTTTAATATATAAATTCAACTTACAAACTTAAGAAAAAATGAAACAAATTGCAATTATATTTGACCAAGTCTCACTTGATCGTATGAAATGGTCTGCAGATAATTACATGCCCATGGCAGATGTCTTAGAAGTGGGGACTGGGAAAGAAGAGGTCTTTGTTCGACTGGATAGATGGCTCAGCAGTAAGAGCAATGCTCTTCTATAGGTCCCAAGTTCAGTTCCTAGCACCTATGGTAGGCAGCTCACAGCAGCCTGTAACTCTGGCTCCTGGGGATCTAGTGCCCCCTTCTGGCTCCATGAGCACCTGCACAGGTGCTTACCCCCCATCCCCCACAAGACAGACACTTCCATAAATAAAACTAAAAATAAATCTTAATAAAAAGAAATGACTGTGAACCTAAAACTGTATTCTTTCACCTCTTTATCTCTTTGTTTTGTGTCTTTCATAAACCCTCTCAAAGTCTATATTTGAACTACACTAAAGCCTAGCTTACAGAAAATACTAATAGTAATAAAACATTTCTTTCCTTTCTTTCCTATCTCTCTAGTAAAGTTCAGTAGTTTTGTCAATGTAGATCACAGAATTTTATACTACACCTTTTTTTTTTAAGAAACAAAGGAAAATGTATAGATAAGGGTGAATGGCTTAGATGTACTTTTTTTTTTTGGTTTTTTCAAGACAGGGTTTCTTTGTGTAGCCCTGGCTGTCCTGGAACTCATTCTGTAGACCAGGCTGGCCTCGAACTCAGAAATCCGCCTGCCTCTGCCTCCCAAGTGCTGGGATTAAAGGCGTGCACCACCACCGCTTCGTTTGAGTATCTTAGACCAGATATTTATTCTAACCAAGATTTGTCTGTGTGACTTTGGTTCAGGCCACTCCAGCCCCCGCTACATTCGGTGTACCACGTACTGCTTTCCATGCACGTCAGACATGGCTAAGCAAGCTCAGATCCCGCTGGCTGCTGTCATCAAACCCTTTGCTGACATTCCGTCAAATGAGGTAAGAAGGAGTAAAACAGATTCAGTAATCTACTTACCTACTCCAAAATGAGTCTTGACAGGTTTTTATTATTTATTATTCCAAACTCCGGGAAAGTGGATTAAATGTAAATGTCAAAAATACCTACTCAAACAATTCATCTGGAAATCAGAATCTTATATGCAGTATTACATAATGCCCTGAATACTAATTATGATGGTCTGAGTCATATTTTCATCCACCTTAATAGTGCACACAGAAAGTGTTGCCTAGGAGAATGATATCTAGTGACAAACCATGTGACTCATTGGGAGGTTTTATACCCATTTCAGGGCCCTGCCATGGAGTTGTTCTATTGGGAGAAGTCCTTGATGTTAATACATCTGCTTAATAGTTACTGTGCCAGAATGCTCACTAACTAAATGTTAGAGACACAGCAGAGATAAATCTATGTGTATGTGTGTTAGTTTGTAGGGATATACCCAATATATAGTTTAGTAGTAAAACAAAATAGAAAAGTGGCTCGTATTTAAGATCCATGATTGCTGTTAATATTGATGGAGGTTGCTGAGGTATGTGAGCTGATATCTGGACTGACAGAATTCTGTTCCTCATGGCAACTCTTCCTTTTATAAATGTCCTTAGTGATGGCTACTCAAATGCACAGTAGGGAAGGCTCAAAGCAGAGAACGTCTTCCTTCAGCGAGGCTTTGATGTGACTGATCACAGGAGTGCAGCCCTTGGCCTGAGCCATCCTATTCCATTAGCTACAAGTTAGAGTTCCCACTCGCTGCTCCAAGGACCCTTAGACTCAATCTCAGGTCTAGGGATCCTCAGAGGGAGGCTGATCTGCTATAAGGTGCAAAATCTTAGGAGGAACTTCTGAGGTTTCAAAAGCTTGTGCCAGGCCCAGTCTCCTCTCTCTCTCTCTCTCTCCCCCCCCCCACCCCCGCTGCCTGAAGATCAGGATGTAAACTCTCAGCTACTGCTACAGAGCCATGCATGTCTACTCCCCACCGTGATGATAATGTACTAACCCTCTGAAATTGTAAGCGATCCCCCAGTTAAATGATTTCCTTTATAAAATAAAAAACAAAACCAAAGAAATGCATGACTGAAAGCCAACATTGATTATATTTCAGCAAATCCGTATAGCTGTGTAACCTCAGTGCCTACCAAGATCTAAAACCATCACGGTTACCCTAGAGAAGCCCCTCCTGCCCCTCAGCCATTCCCACCCTCCACACCACCTCCTGCCCC